AAACTAAGACCTGGCAGGAGAATCCCGGTGGCGATGCATTCGAGGACCCTCCGTAGAGCTTCTCCAGGACTGAGTGGACCTGATGCACTGCTAATGGCTTTTTCCACAAGCAGCTCCATGGCCTTTGCGAAAGAAAACACAACCAGTTAATACGACAGTGACTGGCTAAAGCAAAAAACACTGTTAGCAAACAAAGCTAACTCACCCAGTCGGGCATCTTGCCCCAGGTAGGTATGCGCTGACACAGATCCCGCAGAACCCGAATAATGATGACGCAAGACTGAAGACCGTTCGCCCGAGCCTGTGGACAAAACTCATTAATACGCAACAATCACAGCTAACAGCAGCACTTCAGTTAATAACACAAATGTAAATGTTAAATGATAATGCTAATGCTACTAAAATTATTCAACGGTTGAGTGTAAGACCAGAACCATACTCTACGTAAGTTCGCAAACACTCAGCCTTTGTATCGCAAGTACAGTTCCATTGTACACGCTTAACTACAAATTTAGATAGTTAGCTAGCTAACATGCTAACCAGTTGACGATAAACTAAACAGACTTGCTCTGCGATATTCTTTTCAAATAGTTGCTCCTGAAAATGAAAAATACTGTATTGGCCCGAATATAAGACGACCCTGATTATAAGACGACCCCCCCTTTTTCCAGATGTACCTTTTGGAAAAAGGCTTTTTAAAAAACAAATCTTGTTTTTTCTCAGTAAAACACATTTTGTCTTCAATTATTTTCATATTGCATATTTTTCCTATTTTAATTTTTGTTTTGAAAGTATGGTAAAAACTGGTCAAATGTACCAACATTCACATTTAAAAAATATACACTTTTTGATATACCATAAAAATTCGTCTTATATTCGGGTCAATACGGTAATCGCTGAAGAAAAGTTCACGTTAATGTCCTTTACAGCACCCCTTGTGGCAATACTGAAAATAAGATGCACTAGCAATGCGTTCGGACATATTCATATTAAAGAAATCGAACTTGTGTTGATAGAAGCAATAAATACTTGTATACGGTATGATTGGGGTTTAGGCAAAAGTCAGTACCATGTCGGTTAGCTACGTGTAGATTTCCCAATAGCGATTTTTTTTAAGTCAATTTAGTGCTTAAATAATACTTTAAAAATGTATCTACATTTAGCTACCTTTTGCTAGTAGCTTGAAGAGCAGCAACTCATTTTTCAGAAATATTTTTTTATGCATGTCTAACTCAACTACGTTACTATAATTTCCTGTAGCTACGTAAAGCATAATTTAATGACACAAGACTGAAGACCGTTAGCATAAGCCTGTGGATAAAACGCAATACGCAACAATCATGGCGAGCAACAGTTAATAAAAACTGTAAATGCTAACTGAAAAATGCTAAAGCTAAAATGTTACTAAAATTAAACAACCGTGAGTCTAAGACCAAAAGCATACTCTACGGAAGTACGCGAACACAGTTCCATTGCACATGCTTAACTACAACTTATTAATCAAGTAATTAGCTAGCTAACATGCTAGCCACTTGCCAATCAACTTAGCTGACTTGCTCTGCGATATTCCATTCCAAAGGTTGGTACTGAAAGAGAAAACTGACTGTAGAAGAAAAAAAGTCTATGCTAATGACCACTATAGTGCCTCTTGTGGCAATACTGAAGATAAGACGCACTAATATTGCGTTACTAATTGTGTTCTGACACATTTAGAAACTCAACTACAAATGAAGTCAGCCTTGCGTTGATAGAAGCGACACTTACATAGAGTATGATTCAGATTTAAGCGAAAGTGAATAGCATGTTGGTAGCTAAATTATGCTTTCTCAATAACGATTTTTCATTAAGTCAATTTAGTGTTTAAATAATACGAAGTCAATTTAGTGTTTAAATAATACTTCTTCAAATCTTCAAAAAAATCACTATATTCGAGCTACTTTTCACTAGTAACTTTGTAGAATAGCTACTACTTTTTCAGAAAGATTTTTTAACTTTATGCCTAATGTAACAATGCTGCAATTTAACAATGTAACTATGTTAAATTATGAGTTGCTTGTAGCATAGCAAAATATAATTACAAAGGAGCTTCTCCGACACTTTTCACAAGGTTACAGATAACGTGTCTACTGCCATAAAATATTAAAGGGTTAGTTCACCCAAAAATGAAATTAGGCTGTGTTTTACTCACCCCCGAGGCATCCTAGGTGTATATGACTTTCTTAGTAGCGAATCGATGCGTTTTTGTAAGAAAAATATCCATATTCAAAATGTAATAATCACTTTAATGTAGCTTGCATCAACAGTTGTACACAGAAGCAGCTCCGGGAGCATGACGTATGAGTTCAGCGCTGCGCACGTTAATGTAGCTTGCGTCAACAGTTGTACACAGAAGCAGCTCCGGGAGCATGACGTTGCGCATACGCCGGTGAGTCTCGTGAAAACCAACATTTGTTTACAGGATCAAACGAAGCAAAGCTTCCTTACTTTAGCAAAGGAAAACAAGTCTCCTCTTGGCTTATATCGAAATCCTTTGACATTCTTCTTTAGAAATCCTTGTTTTGTACTTCTAATTAGTGACCGTTGTTTTGTTTTGATCTCTCCGCTGTGCTTCCTCGTTCGTCACTTCTGAGCGGCGCATGCGCAAAGCCGACATCTTACGTCATCCGCCCGGAGCTGCTTCCATGTACAACAGTGCGCGCAAGCTAGATTCAAGTGATTATTATGTTTTAAATATGGTTATTTTCTTACAAAAACACATCGATTCGCTACAGGAGGACTTTGTTCACCCCCTGGAGCTGTGTGAGACACTTAAACTTTCGAAGCCCCCTTTTTTTTTTTTTTTACCTGAAACCATTTAGCATGTCGCAGAGCCGCTAAATACTCAAGGCACTTGGTCCTGCCGAGAACATCAGGAGGGTCTTTCTCTGAGGCTGCAAGGGCACATGTAGGAAACATTGTCAATTGTATTTAATGATTTAGCAATCGTAAGAAAAAGTAAGTAGATCTTGTTGATATAAAATTATTGTTGATTAAATGACACAAAGAGTTTTTTAAGGGATTTGTGGCAATAGGCTGTGTTAATGTGATCATTAGAACACACGTCAAAACAAAGTGACAACACTGAAACGTCACAAGACGAGGGGTTTTCCGCACGTCCAGGTTCCTAAAAAAACTGTTGCAATGTTATGCAAAAGATGTAGATGGAAAATATTACTGCTTCGGTCTGTTAATGCATGATTAACAAACCCAAACAGGACAAGTGTGGAGAACCACTTTGGTTTTTTGGTTGTTTGAAAAAAAATAGAATTGAGAATATCGTTAACAAAATAAAACAACAATGACCTCAGTTTACAAGTCGGAATTTCAGAGGCTTTTGAGATCACTGTTCAGAAACTTCAGGATGAGAGGATGAAATTGTTTTAGGCCACATGGTGGATGATAAAATCCATTTTCTCCAACATTAAATACTAATAATAAAACTGTAGTTTAGGTTTTGTCTTATTTAGACACAAAACACCAAAATGTTGCTGCTATCACGCAAACTATTGTGAAACTATTCGTACATTGTCAGTCCCAAAATATTAAAGTGGCCGCATTGTTTGATTATGTACAGGAGTGACAAACATATTTTACAACTGAATTTCTGCATTAAGAAAGAGCTTGTTTTTACCAAGCAATTTTTATTTTTTAACCAAGAAAATTAATGAATTTACTCAAAAAAATTCAGGTACTTAAAAGCAAATTGACATAATATTTGCATAGCATACAGAAAAATTAACCAAAACAACTAGATGCGAATGCAGAAACGTAATCATGACAAATTAACGTAATTAATAATTACAAGCGGCAGTTTAATGAGCATAAACAACACTTACTATAATATAGTGAGAAACACTGTTTTTTTTTAACTATTAAAAATTATAAAATGTAATAAATGAATATAATATAATAATTAAAATAAAAGTGTAATAAAATAGAAATTAATATTTAAAATTAATAATTACAATAAAATTAACACATTTTTTAATAATAAATTGTTACTAAGCCACCGTTAATTGTTAGAAACTGTTTCTTAACATGAAAATGTCAAAAATCACAATTTTGCGTGATGTAGGATCGACTGTTTTCTGTACACGCGCAAAAATAAATGCGATTGTCACTCCCAAAACTTTACATCAATCACCACCACATTTATATGCACATGAACAACTTGGCCTGAAAAAAAGTTAAACATCTCTCTCATCCTGAAGTGCTCATGTATCTTACAACACAACTTGTACAATATTGCGCCACAGTGGTAAAGAAAGGTCAGAGATCCTGTTTTTGATTCCTTAAAACGCTTTCAAAAAGCAACGCAAAACCGAACAAGGGCAAATAACGGACTGAACCGAAAGGAAAAAAAAAACAAAGAAAATGAAGGAGGGGGTAAGAAATGAACAGGAAAGCCAATTCACTGATGGAAAATTCAATTCTGTATGGAAATATCCGTATTTTTTGTGAACCAAGGGAACACATAGTGCTGCTGAGGGAAAGCACGGGTTCTCTAACCTTTCTCCATGTTGGGGACGGGGTCTTCGCGCATCACTGGCGAGGTAAGAGAGATGGTGACCTGCATTTTTGGTTCCTTGCTTGAAAAAATGACGATGTTGGCTTCCTCTGGGTGTACCTGCACCTCATACTGATCTTCAGAAAAGGTCTGCCGGTTAAAAGGACACTTTGCATTACTACAGAGGAGACGGCGGGGGTCAATACAGGGGCCTTAATTTGTCCCTTATAATCCCAGTGGTAATTGCCACACTCAAAGTCTTGGCTGGATAATTGCCAGGGTTAATGGTATATAATGCAATGCCCCAGTCTCTCTCTGTAGGTGTCGTAACCAGGCAGTGGAACTAAAGATCAGTTAAAGATACACGGACCACAACAGCAGCAGGAGGAGTAAAGTCAAAAGCTAATTTATTCAGAGTTATTTTGAATTATATATGGGTGGATCACACAATAAACCACCAGAAACATGTCTGGGTCATATTTCATCCCAAAAATCAAAGGGGGGAAAAATATATTTTGCATCAATTAAACTATGTATATTTTTAAGATCACAATGATTTGACAATTTTCATGACATTTAGCACATTTTTCTTACTCAATTAGTCATTACCGCAATGCACAACCATCTCAATCTCATTACTTGTAATGTGAAAAAAATAATAAAAAATCTGTATGTTACTGATTGCATCAAGTAAAGTATATTTTTAAGATTTGACATTATTTTCATGACACTTAGCACATTTTCCCCATGCACTGAGTCATTACCGCAATGCACAACAATCTCAATTTAATGAGGTTTTGTGCTGCATTAATGAGACTTTAGGAAATATGTTTAATTGTCATGAAAATAATTTCGGAAATTTTTTTTTTATATAATAATTTAATTGAAAAAATTTTGATTGTTAAACTGTGATAAAAAAAACATTTTTATATATAATTTCATGCATGTTACAGTAATTAGTTTTTTTTTTTTTAAACCTTCATGAAAATAACTGATATGGTTTTTTTATTTTTTTTTTTATTTTGCAGCATTACAGTAATGGCATTTTAGGGGATGCTTAATTATCAAAGATTAAAAAAAAAAATAAAAAAAAACTTAATGGGCTTAAAAATACACTTCAATTGCTTTATGCAAAATATAACAAATTTTAATTTTAAGTATAAATAAGTTTGAATAAATTGAAATATACATTTTAACTTTTTTAATTTAAAACAAAAACATTTTTAAAAAAGTTTTTTTTTTTTACCGCAATGCACAACAATCTCAATTTAATGAGGTTTTGTGCTGCATTAATGAGACTTTAGGAAATATGTTTAATTGTCATGAAAATAATTTCGGACATTTTTTTTTTATATAATAATTTAATTGAAAAAATTTTGATTGTTAAACTGTGATAAAAAAAACATTTTTATATATAATTTCATGCATGTTACAGTAATTAGTTTTTTTTTTTTTAAACCTTCATGAAAATAACTGATATGGTTTTTTTATTTTTTTTTTATTTTGCAGCATTACAGTAATGGCATTTTAGGGGATGCTTAATTATCAAAGATTAAAAAAAAAAAAAAAAAAACTTAATGGGCTTAAAAATACACTTCAATTGCTTTATGCAAAATATAACAAATTTTAATTTTAAGTATAAATAAGTTTGAATAAATTGAAATATACATTTTAACTTTTTTAATTTAAAAAAAAAACATTTTTAAAAAAGTTTTTTTTTTTTTTTTTTTACACTTTTGATTCACAAGTGTGAAATATGACCTGGACATTTCTCAGTGAGATACACACATATGACAGCCAAGCTTAAACATAAAACCACACACCCAGCTACACGTTGCTATATATAATCTTGCCATGACACCTGGGACCATGTGATTTCTCATGTGGGCCATTTCCATCCATGTAACAGCCAGAACAAAGGTAAATAATGTGTTAAAACCACAAGTGCAAAGATACGAGTATAAACAGGTCATAAGTCAATAACAGTTTTCAGCAGCTTCGACATAAACATTTATTTTCCATGCATAGCAACGTCACAAAAAAAAACAAGCTTACCGCTAGTTGTTTGGGCATTTGCTCTGCAACGGTTCTCAATAGAGAGGTGGTGGGTTTCTTGGCCGCTAACAGGATGAGCTGAACGTTGCGGTCGCCGCGTAGGAGGAGACCTTTAGCCAGGATTCCCACGCGCACGACTCCTTTGAGAACACGAGCCTGAGACTCCGACCTGTCCAAGAGGAAGCACGTAAATCTACACTTCCCACTACTATTCCATAGCATGACCAGAAAGCTAGCTACTAGGAGTCCTCACTGTTTGTCCGTCACGTCGTTGTCGTCGTCGTCCGCAGCACACGCCTCCTTCTCCAGCAGCGAATCAGACACCAGTTTGAGCGCGCGCTCAGAATGCGACACGATTCGCTGGACGGCCTGAAGCTCCTCCTCCACGGGGTAGATGGCCGAGTGTTTGGCCATGATGTGGTGGTCGTCGGGCGAATCGGGCCGTCGCACGGGCTAAAGATAAATGGGAGGATTGTTGAGGTTTACAGCATCAGATTTAGGCCTGTCGCAATAATCAATATATCGACTTATCGCACAATATATGTACATGACCTCAATAATTTGTGGTGACACAATATATCGCCCATTATATTTACTTAAAAATTAACGTCACTGTGTTTTGTGCATTCCACTTGCGCCTGTGTCTTTTGCAGCTTCTCGTACATAACATGGTGTAGAGGTGCTAGTTCAAATTTAAAACATGCTTCTACAAAAAAAGTTTCATCTGGAGATATGGTCTTGTATAGAGATCTGTGCCTTTGTGCATACGGACATCTGACTGCTAAGTAGTGATTGTGTTTTTCAGCAATAGTGTGCACCCTTAATTTACAGAGAAAAGAAGGTCAGGGAAATATCTGTAGATGAGAAAAATCTCCATACAAGTTCTTTATGCATTTTTCTTTTTTTCTACTTGTTACTTTGCACTTTTTGTTAGAAAATGTTTATTTACTATTTATTCAGGTTTTTTAAGGTATCTAATATCTAAATATTCTTAAAAATTAAAAGTTTGTTGTCATTTGGAAGTGTGTAGGCCTTCTTGCATTATTATGCTGTTACATTATGATTATATATTCAGTTGCATAAAACGGTCTTTAAAATGACAATAATATCGCTTATCGCAATTATTTCTGGGGCAATATATCGCACAACAAAAAGCTGTTATCGTGACAGGCCTAATCAGATTTGGTCTGGTCAGTTTTTGTCTGAAATGTGATTGTGTATTTACCAAAAGGGACGGCACCGGCATGCTGGGCCGGCCCATGAGAGGAGGCGGGGCCATTCGGTGTCTCGTCTCCACCCAGTATAACTGCTCCTCCTCCATTCTCCTCCAGTACATGTCCTCCTCGTACCTCCAGCTGGACGACACATGGAAACGTGAATATTAAAAGTTACAAATCATGCCATCGTAACCAACACACTCCACATTCAGTGTAACAAAATGATGAGAATTATTATATACAATATTAGAAAAATATGTACTCAATTTTTTAAAGAGTGCCAAACTATAATCATCATATGAAAAATGTTTGTGTGTGTGTAAATATATGAAAAATGTTTTATATATATATATATATATATATATCCCTGAATATAAAAATTATGAATTATTCAAAGTGACTTAAACCATGTTTGATGTATATCGTTTGACAATTTTTTGTACAAAATTATTTTAAAAAAATGCTTAGATAAACAATGATAAAATAATTTACTACATTTAGTGCAAAACATGGTGTGAAACGCATTACATATATTTACTATATTTGTAATTATATTATATATAGTATTTGCTAAAAAAGTACACTAAAACTAAGTGTGCTGAATTTTAATCATTATATGAAAAATTATATATATTTTATAATTATTTGAAAATAATTACATTACATTTAAAATTATTATATTTGCAAAAAATATACACTAAAATTATTACACTGATCAATTTTAATTATATGAAAAATGTTATATATAATTTATAATTATTTGAAAATAATTACATTACATTTAAAATGATTATATATTATAATCTTTGCAAAAAATGTACACAAATTATTACACTGATAAATGTTAATTGTTATATGAAATATAACACGTTTATATTTTGTAATGATGTGAAAATTATTACATTTAAAATTACATATTTGTAAAAATACAGTAAAATTATTATAGATTGCTAAATTTTAATACTAAGAAAATGTGATTTTATGTGCATATGTATACACACACACATCTATATAAATGATGAATATATTCAAAGTGACTTAAATCATTTTTGATGCACATTCTTTAAAAGTTGTGAAAATATCAAATATTCACAGTGTTCAATGTTAAAAAAGTGAATTGAAACTTCATCAGAAATGGTGTGAAAGCTGATGAGGACCTCATTTCCATGTGCCAGCGCTGTTCATCCTCTTGTTGTCTCTTCAGCACAGATTTCTGCTTCTGCTTTCGCAGTTTGACTTCCAGAAGTTTCCGTGCTCGATTACTGGGCTTGATCTCCACAGGAAGGTCTGGATTCACTTTTTTCTGAAAATTAGATTAAAAATTGGTCAATAACTGCAGCCCTGCAGGATTTCGAGTCTTTACTATCGGTTTTATAATGTTAGCTTGACTGTCTTGTGTTTTTAACTGAAGCATTTCAATAAAGTGAAGCGGTTTTGCACTGATTTTAGACTTATAATTCACTTGTTATGAATAATCTGATCTTTCATGAAGTTCCCAATAAAATGAGAAGATAATCAACCATTAATCTGACAAACAGTTAAATCGCTTGATAAGCCAAAAAAAATCTCTTTTAAAAAAGTGTTTCTTTGAGTTCATCAAATTAAAATAAATAAATAAATAAATGAATAAAAGCTAAATAAAATGAGAAAACCAAGTAATATTAAGCAATTTCATTGGTCAAGAAATTTTAAAGTATTTAAACTTGTTTACTATCAAAATAATTATTTGTTGAATTTAATAATTACATTAATATACAAAAATAAACATACATACATGTATAAAAATAACTATTTAATGATATAGTTATATTATGAAAAAAAAATCATTTTTCTGTTTTTTCTTTGAGTCCAAGTTCTAAAAAATATTAAAAAATAATTTATTTAATAATCTTAATTAATTGATTCCACAATAGGCACACTCTAGTTTATTATAGAAATAATTATTTGTTCAGTTTAATAATTCTATTAATATACAAAAATATACATACATATATTTATACACAAAAATGGCTATTTAATGATACTTATATCATGAAATAAATTTGTTTTATTTAGTGTATAAAAAATAATTTTTTTTTTGTTCCATTTTTCTTTGAGACCATCAAGTTTTAAATTTAAAACAAAAAATCTAATTATATGAAGAAATTTTCACTGGGCAAGTATTTAATTTACTTTTATATTTTTTTGTTATTTGATGAATTTAATAATTATTAATATACAGAAACATACTTACATACATAAAAAAAAAAAATAGCATACGATGTTTTGTTTTCTTTCTTTCTCAGGGTGACGTCTTACCTTGTACTGCAGCCGGTGTCTCCGTCCCTTCAGGTGCATGTCTTTAGCGTTGGGATCGTTGAAGCTGCATTCACACAGTTTACAGTGAAAGCGAATCACCTTTCCCTCGTCATTTCGAATCTGTATAGAAAAAAAAAAGAAAAAAAAAATCACAATTCAGAGACTTTAATCCCTCAACAGAAGGACAAAGCGAATCACCTTTCCCTCGTCATTTCGAATCTGTATAGAAAAAAAAAAGAAAAAAAAAAATCACAATTCAGAGACTTTAATCCCTCAACAGAAGGACAATTGCCCAATTATCCTAGAATGTCACACATTTACTAGAAGAAATCCTTTTGATTCAGACTGATTTGCTAATAAATATGATTTGCGATCAATTTGATCAATTTGACTGATTCGTTGGGTAAAAAAAAGGCAGGTTCACTGTTTTTGTTCAAGTTTTGCTCAATACATTATTGCAAATAATGAAATTATTTGACTGAACAGTCTCACCTCTTCAACATAATCGTGTCCCACAGGCTGAATGTCTCCTTGAGCTCCAGTACCATCACCATCCTCATCTTCACTCAAAGTGTCCGTCTTCACTACAGACAGCTTCGCCTCCTCCAGCTTTACCGGAGCTGGTGTGGACGTTCTGCTGCCTGGAGAGAAATGGATATTAGGGAATTGACTATATTTCATGTTTCTGTAAGATGGCTGTTCATAACGTAACCATTAGGGATGCACCGATACCGATACTGGTATCGGGTCCGATACTGAGCTCCTGTACTCGTACTCGTTAAAATACCAAACGCCGATACCACACAGCATGTGTTAAGTGCCATATTCAGACAATGAAACACCGACAACCGAACAACAGACAGCAGAATGGAGTTATTAGAGATTAAGGATGTCTACGAAGTATATGTATGCAACGAATATAATCTTAAACATTCAGTATTGACTAGGGCTGCACGATAAATCGCACGAATATGAACGTGGTTTTGCGCAGCTCGTCATTATCTAACATTATCAAGCTGAATTTGTTCTGACACAGTTTAACTCTGAGTTCTTGTTATATTTTATTACCATTTTCTAAACTATAGTGAATAAACTGTGATAATGTGAGAAATGTTGAAGGTGTCTGAATAAATTTTGTTTTGACTATCTATTTGATAAATGAAGTTAACCAACTAACATTATACATACTTTTTTGGTTTCTGTACCCAATATTTTAAAAATTTACAAATGCAATAAAAATATTGGTATCGGTACTCGGTATCGGCAAGTACCAAAAATAAAAGTATCGGTATCGGGCGAGTACTGGAAAAAGTGGTATGCATCCCTAGTAACCATGCTACCAAAATGTTTATGTTGTGCAGGGTTTGTTGTACGATTACATCTACATCTATTAGCTCATAGTCTGTTGTTATCTACATAAAGCAAAAAGACTGAGCAAGACTTCTGTGTTGATGTCATGTTACATTCTGAAAAACGCATTGCGTCAACATGACGTCTGAAATGTGTACGAGGAGATTTTTCTTCTGCAAGGCAGGATGTAAATAATCTATTCCCATCCTGTGGGTTTTGTGAGTGATACACTAAAGAGGAAATATCATCTATTTCTGTGATCAGTGTGACCACTGACTGCGTAAGTGCTGGTGAAATGAAACGCAGAAGAAAACTATAATCTCTACACTGGAAACCTCAGGGATTTATGACTATTTTGTGTGACCAAAACTAAGCTTAAACACATTGTGCTTAATTTATGTGCAAACAGGCCTTATAAACATTCTTACATAAACTGTCATTGTAAACAAATTTAGGTGTAAATCGCTCATAAAACTTTGTAAACATTTGTTAAAATTAGTTAATGCAACGATGAGTGAAACATTTATTAATCTTTGTTAAATGTTAGTTATTAAAAATACAGTTTAATAAAAGAATGTTTTCACATGCATTAACTAATGATAAAACAAACAACTTTTGATTTAAAAACATTACAAATTGTTAGTTCATGCCAAATAATGTATTTAACAAATGCGACCTTATTGTGCAGTTTTACCAACATTTCTTAAATAAATTTCTTATGTAAATCAGTCGTAAACCAATTTTTGCTTAAATTGTTGCAATTGCATGATTGCACAGACTTATATTCGCAAACAACTCATGCAAGGATAGTTTTACGTATTATTTACACAGAAAGTTAAACAAATGATGCCAAATAAGTTTAGTACGAATTCATCAATCAATTGTAAAACTGTTATGTATAACTGTTATATCGAAAATATGACTGAATTTCTGTGTAATTCATTCTTACATAAAAAAAAATCGTAAATAATTACTAAAATCATCGTTATGTAAACTGTCACAACTGCACATGAATTTATAAAACATTCACATAAGCTCCGATGTAAATGTCGCAAATGCGAACAAATTCCTTTTAATCATTCAGTAGTTTTATACTACATACTTGTGCAATTGTGACAATACTAAGTAATTCGCAAAACCATTCTTGTCAGTTCTCGTAATTGCGAACGATTTCTGCGCAAGTCATTCGCAAAGTTAATTGTTTTGAAAACAGATAGTAGTCCGAATGATTTACACAGAGAGTCATTCTGCTCACGCTTTACGAAAAAAGCCCTAAATCATTATGTAAACGGTCTCAACAGCAAACGAATTTATAATAAATTCACATAACCCCCGTGTAAATGTTGCAAGTGCGAACAAATTCCTTTTAATCATTCAGAACACTTGTTTTATACTACAAACTTGTGCAATTACGAAGACTATGTAAATAATTCAAAAACGCATTCTTGTGTAAATTTTCGTAAAATGCGAAAAATTTCTGCACTAGTCATTCGTAAAATTAATTGTTCTGAAAACAGATAGTAGCCCGGATGATTTACACCAAAATTCGTTCTGTTCACGTTTCACGAAAAAGGTCCTAAATCATTATGTAAAGTGTTGCAATTGCAAATAAATTTTTAATAAACTCACACAAACTCCAATGTAAATGTCGTAAATGCAAACAAATTTCGTTTAGTCATTTGGAAAACTTGCTTTATATTATCTACTTGTGCAGCTGCAAAAAATATATAATTCACAAACCCACTTGTGTAAATTCTCATGGTCGCCAAAATTTTTATTAGAATTAGAATTTTTTTTTTTTTATGTTTTGTAACAGTGTTCCGAATGATTTACAGAGAAATTCATTATGCTAACATTTAACGAAAAGGCCCTATAAGGTCACTCACCGATAATGGCAACTTTAGCAGTGGCGGGTTTTTTCGCAAGAGACGCCGTGAGTTTGGAAGGAGCCAGCGTCTTCTGCGCCACCGATGTAGGGGTGGGAGCGGTTGTCGCCGCTGTCTTGCTAGTAGTCATTGTCACGGCAACAGGGGCAGAGCTCACGAAAACGGGCTCCGTTGAAGGGATGGGTTTGCCAAGTTTGGTGTGCAACTTCACAACCTGAGGAAAAGTTTGATAGCAGTTACATTTCAATGAAAAGATTCGAAGATGCCAACAAAGCTGCTACACCAAAACATGTCGAAAAGCCCAAGAGCACTGAAATGGCCAAATTAACCATCATGGCATTTAACGAACCTTCTGGTGCTTGGATCCCCGGATGTGTGCAGCGTAAGCATCGGCGCCGGTGCATGAGACGTCACACAATTCACAGCGCAGCTGCGTCTGGACTCCACGAGGTCCGTTGGTCACCTGACTGCCGCTCTTCTGAGCCGCCTCTTTCTTCTTGTGCTTCTGTCCTTCCAGATGTTCTCGATACGTCTGCAGAAGAGCACAGGATCACGAGTCAATAAAGAAATACGTTTGCGAGTACTTTCCACTAAATGTGGGAAACTTTAAGGCAAGACACTACAGGCAAAAACATTGTTTTGCTTTTTTCAATGCACTGGTCATTTTTGAAAATTTGGGATATATGGCTTTTCATAACACATTGTTGAAAAGCGGAAACAAAACATCCAAAATACTTGTGTTATTTTATTATATTGCACTTTAACTACATGCATCTATAGATTTCAATTACAACACATATCTTTAAAGTCTGTCTTCTAAAAATGAGTTTCTCAACTTTAGTAGAACTTACATACTCCAAATTTTACAGTTATATTCTCATCTATAATCTGAACATTTTTACTGAGGGTTTTGTTCATATATCGTTTGCCTGCTTTTTTTTTTTACAGCATTTTATTTCTAAAAACATGGTGAAATTTACTTTATTTCTTGATGTTGGCAGTTTTTTTTTTATTTATGGAGTGATAAAGAGAGATATTCAAAATCCCCTCTGTAGAAACCTTTGACTCTAATATGTCAACAAAATCAAACAAGAATTTTGATCCTGGCCTTACAGATTTCATCTGTGGAAATGTATGCAAATTGGTGCATGTTTAATTAAATAATGCCTCGATTGCATATGTAAACATAACATTGTAAAAAAACTTGTATTACAAAAATGATTTGCAATTCTTAATGTAATCAATCCACTGGGGAAGTATGGTGTTAGTTAATCTATTAGTTTTTTTTTTTTTCACCCTATTCACCTGGGGTGTCTTGCCTTAAATATCTGTATCCCATATGAAAATGTTTTAAAATAGTTTTAAAGTAAAGCTCAAAACACATCTATTCTCTCTGGCTTTTAATTATAGCTGATTTATTGTGTGGTTGGTGGTCTTCTTTTAGTTCTTTAGGCTAATTTCTGTGTGTTTTTATTGGCTGGTTTTGGACTTACTGTATAGCACATTGCTCAACAATTGTTGCATTTAAAGGAATAGTTCGGCAAAAAAAGGACAATTTTCTGATTATATACTTACACCTATGCATCTTGGATGGCCTGGGGCTTTCTTTCTTCAACCGAAGAGAAATTAAGGTTTTGGAGGAAAACATTCCACTATAGATTACAATTTCAATACATATCTTTAAATGCCGTTTTCTCAAAATGAGTTTTTTCCTCGATTTCAGCAGCACACACCAAATTTTACAGTTTTATTCCCAACTATATCCTTAAGATTTTCACTGAGGGGTTTGTTCATTTATCATTCGCCTGATTTGTTAAACATAACAGTTTAGAAATCTTGCAATACAAAAATTGTATGCAATTCTTAATGAACTGACACAAAAACTAGGGTCGTATGGATTACTATGAAGCTGCCTATATATGGATTTTGGACCGTCGAAAATGATCGAAATAGGGTAAAAACTGAACTAATGGATATAACCATACTTCCGCAGTGTAGTAATTGCATTAAAAATGGCAAACATTTTTTGTATTACAAGTTTTCTAAAATGTTATGCTTAAATATCGAAGGAATAAAAACCAGGCGAATGATATATGAACAAAACCCTCAGCCGTGTTGGGGAAAGTTACCTTTAAAAGTAATGCATTACAATATTGCATTACTCCATAAAAAAAGTAACTAATTACATTACTTGGTTTCTTTTATGGAAAGTAATGCATTACAATATTGCATTACTCCATAAAAAAAGTAACTAATTACATTACTTGGTTTCTTTTATGGAAAGTAATGCATTACAATATTGCATTACTCCATAAAAAAAGTAACTAATTACATTACTTGGTTACTTTTATGGAAAGTAATGCATTACGCTACTTTTGCGTTGCTTTCTGTCACCTTGGATGGGCTTGCTTACTTGTTTTTTATTAACAAATAAACCGTAAGTTATATTTTTTTACAACTGTAAAGGCCCTTTCACACCATAAGCGAAATGATTAAGCCTCAGACTGAAGGGAGTGCCTCTGTCTCTGCACCTCACTCCTAATTTCTCTAAACACGGGATAGGAGAGGCGTCATTAAATAAATGGGAAAACAAAGTAATGTGTTACTTATTTGAAAAAGTAACTCAGATGTTTCATTGTACATTCAAAAGTAATGCATTACTTTACTAGTTACGTGATAAAAAGTAATCTGATTGCGTAACTTGTGTTACTTCTAACCATAGACTGTATAAAAACATGGACGTAGTGTCCGTGACGTCACCCGTAGTTTTCTGAAGAGCGTTTTTGAAGCTCAAAGTGGGCGGAGCCGGCCGTCGCCATCTTGGCAGCGCGTCACTCCCAGATAATCGAAAATGGGCAAAAAAGCGGGAGCTGGTTGCTGAAACCACGCCCGCCTAGCTCGACGGCAGTGTCAGCAGCGGCAATCTACCTGTCACTCAAGTGGCCACGCCCTTAATTATGCAGAACTTTAAGGCTTAATATCATTTAAACAAATGAGTTATAAAAAAATTCACCCCCCTCACAGTTGTCATGAAGGGCAAAATTAGCTATATAGAACAAAATAATTTTTTGAACCAGGCTGTAAACATGTTTTTTCTGCTGTAAAGTTGGGCATTTTAACATGGGGAGTCTATGGGATTGACTCCCTTTTGCAGCCAGCCCCTAGCAGCCAGTTGACGAATTACAGTTTAAGTCACTTCCGTGTTGGCTTCACGAGAGAGCGGGAGGTTGCCACTTGCTTCTAACGCGATACCCCAACACTGCCCCTCAATAAAAATCTTCAGAATACAGATGGGAATACAACTGTTACGCTTGGTGTAAGTGCTACTGAAGCACAGGAAAAAGAAATTGGCCTTTAAAGATATGAATTGAAATTTAAGTCTACAATAGATTGGTAACAATCAACTGACACATAAATATATATATTGGACCGTTGGAAATGGTGTATGGTGAGCACCATTCACTTGCATTAAAGAGAGAAAAATCCAGGAATATTTTTCTCTAAAACCTTAAGTTCTCTTCGGCTGAGGAAAGAAAGACCTATACATCTTGGATGGCCTGAGGGCGAGTGAATTTTTGGGTGAAGCTGAATGTGGAGTTCATGCAAACGCTCACCTGCGGACCGGCACAGCTTATCTTGCAGATATCGCAATAGTGCAGCTGTGGCTGTTTGGGCGGCCCTTTGGGTTTTTGGATTTTGCTCTGGTGGAAAATGGGTTTCTTGTATGCATTGACGGTGGGGGTGGTGACTGCGCCACTCCCGGTGTTGCTCCAAGAGGATTTGGTGAGCTGTTTTGGAAGTTGTTGCGTCTGCTGCGGTGGTGTCGGCTGTGGCGGCTGCTGGAGGGGCGGTGGAGGTTGAGGCTGCGGGGGCACCATCTGTGCCGGCTGGAAGTACGACGGCGCGGATGTGTAACCGCTAGACTCATAGCTGGAATAGCTGAGACCGACTGAAGCAACAAAGAAAGCAACACAGTTAGACGATACGCTGGCGGCTATTTGTGGCGTATAAATCTGAATCAGCGGCGGCCGTACTGGAGTAAGACGTAGCAGCTGTGGAGCTGAAGGAAGAACTGGGGGTGTAGGTGGATATGGGGGCTGGACTTTGCTGTACGCTGGTTGACGTCGGGTAGATGGTGTAGCTAGAGGACACAGAGCTCGCAGCGGGAGGGGGTTTCAGAGCTGCGACCTGTCTTTGAACAGGCGGCTGACTGTATGCTGTGCTCGTCGTGCCGTAGCCGGTTTTCAACCCTGAAAAGGCAAAGATGTTCTCATTTAAACCTAAGAATTGGAAGCTATATCTGAGCAGTATAGCTAGATTTTTTTTCTTTTTAGTATATCGACGATATTTGATTGCTATGAAATAGGTTAGATTGGCTGGTTGTTGTTGTTTTTTTTCAATCAAACAGTCATTGAGCCAAGTGCATTCAAAATGTTTAATGCAAGACATAAAAGTTCATATGGTTTCTCACCAAAAGAACATGAATATTTAATTATTTTAATTTATATGCACCAATGTAACAAAACAATGAACAATAATCTACAAATACAACACTATTTTTTATATACTACTATAGTATTTACTAATATTTTAAATTAGCTTTTATTTTTCATGTTACAAACTTTCATTTTGATTCCAGTTTAAGTTTTAGTAATTTTATGTACAAATGTGTTTGTAATTTTTAAACAGTTTTTTTTTTTTTATTATTATTATTTCTGTTTGGCTTTATTTCTTTTTTTTTTAGACTTCATCTTAAACTTATTCTATTTCCGTTAGTTTCCAAGGCAACATTTTCTCTTTACATTTAAGTTTATATCTTATATTTATATTTAAGTTTAGCTTCATTTCAATTAATGACAACTATTTTTAATAGCTTTAGTTAACAAAAGCTACACTGATATACTCAGAGTGAAACGTTTTAATTTAAATAAAAATGCAACACAAACCTTTGATTTAGAATTTTAATTTAAACAGTTTGATTTTCGAAAATGAATCAAACTTGCCAAATTAACAAGTTTGTAAGTTTTTTTTTTAAACTTTGATCAAAACTTTGATGCATTAAAATCATTGCAATAATCACAATATTGGTTACATTTATAATTACAATAATTAATTCTAATGCTTATATAAAATTCTATATAATTTATAATTATATTTCACTATTATTCTTACAAAAATAAAAAATGCATGACATATAACATTAAAATATTAAACTATATCATATTTCCAAATGACATTACTTTTATGGTTACAAATATTGAAATTTATTTACAAAATTACTTAGCATTTCTAAACGGGAATGTTGCAAACCCCACTTGAATCTGCATTACCCGCATGAGTGCCAAAGCTCAATATGTCTGCTGGAAAAACTGGAAACATGTTCACAAAACATGCAAAAACTTAAAAAGGCATAGTTCACCCAAAAATGGAGACCACCAACAGCATGGTTACCAACATTCTTCAAAATACCTTCTTTTGTGTTCAACAGAAGAAAGAAACTCATACAGGTTTGGAACAACTTGAGGACGAGTAAATCATGACCATTTTTAATTTGGGGCGAACTACCTCTCTAAAAACCCATTATTTCATCTTCGATAAATCTGTTTATGTACCTGGCAGACTCGAAAGCATTCAAGTCAGACTGAAAGAGAAATCAGATGCACCTGTCTGGAAGTAGGCCTCGGTTGCGGTTTGCTGCACAGGTGCGATGCTCGTTTGAAAGTACTGCTTGTTCTCGTAGCTGCTGACCGACGGCAGTCGACCGTAGCTATAATTCTCCTGTATAACCAAATTAATTTGGGAATAAATAAATGAGCCCACCTGAGAGGCATCATTAATATGAATGATGCAAAGAGAAGACTGACCGGTTCAGTCAGCACCTGGTAGGTTTGATGGGTGGTCGTCAGCTGCGGCGACGTTTCGGGCTGCTGGTAGCAGTAGTTGGGGGCAGGATGGGGCTGGTAGGTGGGGTAGGGGGCGGTGACCGCGGGACTCGCAGGGTGGGCGGTGGGGTACGAGGCCGTCACAGCATGGGCCACTCCAGGGGCGGCCTGGATGTTATAGCTGCCCGTGGTTGGGTGGGAATAGACAGGAGGCGGCTGGGCACTGGATGGGAATTTCAGGATTCAGAATGAATGTGGTTTATATGCACCATTACAAGGGTCCAAAATACCATGGTAATAGTATATACTTTAAAGAACACCTAAATATAGTACTTTCTGCAAGCATTTTTAATGCACCCTTTACAGTACAATGTAATTATATGGTAAAAGCATAGTACTAAAGGTTTACCATGGTATTAACATGGTACTACGAGTCTATAAGAACGGCAGCACCGCGGTATTTATACTAGCACACGCATATTTCACTTTTCACGATATCAAAACATCATGCAAGCATCAATACACACATAAACAACAGCACCTTAAGAGATATTTGCGCACTGGCCGTCAGCATCTCGCTTAAATATCCGTCGTGGCTTTATGACTGCTGTAAATAAGCGGTGTGTTCATGAGCGTTTGTGTGTGTGTTTGTTTTGTACCTGTACTGCGGGCCGGCGGCGGCAGCTGCATGTGTGAATCCATAATAATTACTGGCCGCCATCTTAGAAACTTCAGCGGCAGCGGCAGCGCTCACGTGATCGACACGTGTCCGTGACGTCAACGGTGACCTTCCCGCCGCGGAGCCTAAAGCTAAAACCGTTATGATGTAAAGATGAATTTATATGATACAATTTTGTCAATATTTATATACCTATAAACAGGAGTGGTTCTAGGGTGAGTAGATTTTCAGGGCTTATCTGTGGAATTCAGCTTAAAGATGTAAATAATTATTCCTATTTTTTAAAGTGGAGATAGACGTCTTTTTTTATTAAACTTTTTATAAACAGCACAATATACACATAACATTTACTTAAACATTTTTTTTTAAATGGATAAATAACCATACAAAATGGAAAAAACAAAGACAGCTTAAATAATATACAAAATAATAAATAATAAAATAAATACAAATACAATATTGTATATGACTACAAAAAGCCCAAAATAAAAAATAATATATATATATATATATATATATGTGTGTGTGTGTGTGTGTGTAAAAGTATAAATATATATATATATATAAATGTAAAAGTATAAATGTAAAAGTATAAATATATAATATTAAATTAAATTAAATATTAAGATATAAATCTACTGCCTATATATAATATTAATTAAATATAAACATTGATTTCATTTAAAATATAAATAAATATAAAAATAAAAGGTATAACATTTTATTTTATTTTTGTTTATTTTTCTATCACATCTGAGCTTTTTATAAGTGGCAGTGTGGTGTGAAAGTATTTTTTAAATATGATTTATTATTATTTATATATATATATAGATATTGATATAGATATAATTTTTTATATTTTATAATTTATATAATTATTTATTATAATTATTTTATATTTTCTAAAATTGATTCCGGTTAACATTTATTTTGTTTTAAGTAATGAAAATGTATTTTAATGGATTTATTTTTAATTTGACTTTTAATTAAGTATAATAATCCTGTTGATGTCTTGTTTATATTTCTACCAGTGTTCAGACAAAAATAGTCCTAATTCAAAAAGACAATTCAAAGGTGAATGAAAGGGAATTATCTCCAAATCAAAGCAGAGGCCACTTCAGCCAGAGATTAAAAGAGGGATTAAAATGATTTTTCCATTAATCCATTGCACACTAAAAATTCCTCTGGTAGGCATTGACTTTTTGGTGATCAAACTCTTCAGGGAAGGATTTGACTTTGTTTTTCAGGTCCAGGTTTCTTCAGCATGGGCAGCGCTGACTTCGGCCCGCTGATGGAGATCATAGAGGCGAGAGACGAATGGCTGGACGATGATTTTCCCAGGTAAACATGTTTTCTTTTATGCTTTTGAAAAGTCCTGTTTAGCCATTGATGATTTGGTTTTGAATGGTTGAACTGTTACATTTTCTGACTCAAATTTCAACATTTGTTTACATTGTGACATAAAATACATCACATGCCTTTGTAGGATGCATGAAATTTGAAGCAACTGGACATTTGATGCATTCAAGGGTTTATACTGATAAATGATTCCAATTTGAATTGAATGCAAGAAATTCCCCAAAAACAGAAAAGATGGTTAATCAAAACAAACTTGTTTGAAGGCTATACTGGGCTCACAGATGGATACAGGCCTTAAAAAGGGAAAAAAAGCATCATTTCTTCAGCGAATCATGAGTGAGATGCTGAATGGAGACGGGAGCAGGTGCAGCTCTCTCCTTAAATGGAAACGAGCCACGTCATGTGACGTAGCAAGCTGCCAACAACACAAGCAGCATCACCAGCAAAATGGAGGCAGGTCAGGCTTAGAGGAGCAGCTCCAGCATCACACGACAGTATGATGCTTTTGAAATATTAAACCGCGTTAGGACCATGAGATTTCACGCTAGCTTGGAGTAAGAACTCGCAGAATCAGAAAGCAGCCAGAAACCTAGTTCGTCTCACGTAGCAGGTAAACGAGAGCAGCTTTGATTGTGCTTTGTTTTGTTTTCTAAAGCATACTAAAATCATCCATTTTATTAGGTTTATGTTGATTAAAATGTTTTTTAATGCTGCATTACTGTTTAATACCAATCACCTATTGGAAAAAAAATTGAAATTTGATTTATCTCCACAGGGAATCTAATGTTGTTATAAATAACAGCATACCAAATTTAGGTATGGTGATTCATACATTTATTTTCATATTATAGTATTGTTATGCAACATTATTATGTATTTCTTTAGTATGTTTTGCGTTTTTGATGCTTATAACTGTCTTTCTCAAGTCTTTAGGTTTGTCATTGTCGTTTAAAAATTTCAGGGGGAAACAATGACAACTGTGAGTTAAATAGACTTTTAGCACAGAAGCAGCAGCTGTGAACCCCGCCGGCTCTGACAACCCCCTCTATTTATCAGCTGCGTGTGCACCGACCCCAAGGGCCTACTCGCTAATTAGCATATCACAATATGCTCTGGTCTTAAAGGAGCATTTCGCCCAAGAATTACAATTTTGTCATTTACTCATCCTCATTTTGTTCCAAAAATATAGGACTTTCTTTACTTAAAATGCTATTTGCACTTACAAAAATCTGTGGCATTTGAAGTGCATTGAAATATTGTCCTCGCTAGGCCACTTCCTGCGGAGGGTGACATGGACTCCTCCTGCACCCTGAACGAGGGGAGAACTTGTAAGTGACTTGGTTTCATACGCAAATGTTCATCTTAAATGAGTAATTTGCATTCGCGTAATGCTCCTTTGTCTTTATTGGCTCAGCTCCCCCAAACTCTCTCCTCATTGGTGGAGCCGGAGGAGGCGGAGCTCACCGGAAGCGTCGCACGCTGGTGGCCCCGGATATGAACTTGTCGTTGGACCAGAGCGAAGGGTCCTTGCTCTCCGATGACTTCCTGGATACGCCTGATGATCTGGATATTAACGTGGATGATATCGAGACGCCCGATGAGACAGATTCGCTTGAGTTCATTACCAACGGCAACGACCTGGAGTGGGAGGGTAAGAATATGCTGTTCTTCATGGCTCTGGAAAGAGATCGGTAAGTAGGTAGGTAGATAGATATATAGATAGATAGATAGATAGACTGTTTGATAGATAGATAGATAGATAGACTGTTCGATAGCTAGATAGATAGATAGATAGATAGACTGTTTGATAGATAGATAGATAGACTGTTTGATAGATAGATAGATAGACTGTTTGATAGATGGATAGATAGACTGTTTGATAGATAGATAGATAGATAGATAGATAGATACCAATTTGAATTGAATGCAAGAAATTCCCCAAAAACAGAAAAGATGGTTAATCAAAACAAACTTGTTTGAAGGCTATACTGGGCTCACAGATGGATACAGGCCTTAAAAAGGGAAAAAAAGCATCATTTCTTCAGCGAATCATGAGTGAGATGCTGAATGGAGACGGGAGCAGGTGCAGCTCTCTCCTTAAATGGAAACGAGCCACGTCATGTGACGTAGCAAGCTGCCAACAACACAAGCAGCATCACCAGCAAAATGGAGGCAGGTCAGGCTTAGAGGAGCAGCTCCAGCATCACACGACAGTATGATGCTTTTGAAATATTAAACCGCGTTAGGACCATGAGATTTCACGCTAGCTTGGAGTAAGAACTCGCAGAATCAGAAAGCAGCCAGAAACCTAGTTCGTCTCACGTAGCAGGTAAACGAGAGCAGCTTTGATTGTGCTTTGTTTTGTTTTCTAAAGCATACTAAAATCATCCATTTTATTAGGTTTATGTTGATTAAAATGTTTTTTAATGCTGCATTACTGTTTAATACCAATCACCTATTGGAAAAAAAATTGAAATTTGATTTATCTCCACGGGGAATCTAATGTTGTTATAAATAACAGCATACCAAATTTAGGTATGGTGATTCATACATTTATTTGCATATTATAGTATTGTTATGCAACATTATTATTAGTATGTTTAGTATGTTTTGCGTTTTTGATGCTTATAACTGTCTTTCTCAAGTCTTTAGGTTTGTCATAAAATTTCAGAAATTTCAGGGGGAAACAATGACAACTGTGAGTTAAATAGACTTTTAGCACAGAAGCAGCAGCTGTGAACCCCGCCGGCTCTGACAACCCCCTCTATTTATCAGCTGCGTGTGCACCGACCCCAAGGGCCTACTCGCTAATTAGCATATCACAATATGCTCTGGTCTTAAAGGAGCATTTCGCCCAAGAATTACAATTTTGTCATTTACTCATCCTCATTTTGTTCCAAAAATATAGGACTTTCTTTACTTAAAATGCTATTTGCACTTACAAAAATCTGTGGCATTTGAAGTGCATTGAAATATTGTCCTCGCTAGGCCACTTCCTGCGGAGGGTGACATGGACTCCTCCTGCACCCTGAACGAGGGGAGAACTTGTAAGTGACTTGGTTTCATACGCAAATGTTCATCTTAAATGAGTAATTTGCATTCGCGTAATGCTCCTTTGTCTTTATTGGCTCAGCTCCCCCAAACTCTCTCCTCATTGGTGGAGCCGGAGGAATCTGAGCTCACCGGAAGCGTCGCACGCTGGTGGCCCCAGATATGAACTTGTCGTTGGACCAGAGCGAAGGGTCCTTGCTCTCCGATGACTTCCTGGATACGCCTGATGATCTGGATATTAACGTGGATGATATTGAGACGCCCGATGAGACGGACTCGCTGGAGTTCATAACCAATGGCAATGACCTGGAGTGGGAGGGTAAAAAATATACTGTTCTTCATGCCTCTGGAGATAGATAGGCAGGCAGGCAGGCAGGCAGGCACAGATAGACAGATAGATAGACAGACAGACAGACAGAGAGATATATAGATAGATAGACAGACAGACAGACAGGTAGATAGACACAGACAGACAGAGAGATATATAGAAAGATAGACAGACAGACAGACAGAGATATATAGAAAGATAGATAGACAGACAGACAGACAGGTAGATAGACAGACAGATAGATAGACAGACAGACAGAGAGATATATAGAAAGATAGATAGATAGATAGACAGACAGGTAGATAGACAGACAGATAGATAGATACACAGATAGATAGATAGACAGACATAGATAGACAGACAGACAGGGAGATAGATAGACAGACAGACAGACAGACAGACAGACAGACATAGCTAAAAAGCAAG